AAGGGCTAAAGAGGAACGAACTTTGGAAGTAAATAACGGGGGAAAAATAATAAAAAAAAACAGAACTAAAATTACCAAAAGAAAACGTTCTGATACAAAAAAAAAAATATTTAATAAATACGTAAATTAATTTTAAAAATAAAAGAAAATTAATTTTGAAAATCCAATTTTTGTCATTTTATTTAAAAAAATAATAACAACGACAAGAAACGAAAGAAGCAACCAAACATTAAACTATTTTTAAACACATTAAAAACTTATTTTTCTAATGACCTAAACCTAATTGAGATGAAAATTTTAACTAAAAATAACATTAACTAGAACTTATTTCAGCATAAAAAGCTTTCTAACTATTAAAACCAACGAGAATTCAACACACTTTAACATACTTTATCGTGGAAGAACTGTGGTTTCAACTCTGAACTGTCTTAACTTGAGTGTGATTTAAGTAATTTTAGAGTTAAATTTCTTCTAAATTTTAGTCTATTTTAACGAAAATTTAACGTTTAATTAATATATAAAGATAACTTACCATAGCATAGTGACAAACAACGATACTTCCCGACTTTAAGTCGGGAAAACCGCTGCAACTCCTCATGGCAATCATTGCTGTTCTGATCTGTTTTCCGGGTGTCTCTGTGATGTCGTCACTTGCACGTTACTCTGCCATTGACCTCAAAAGCAACTCCTCCCATTCTCAAACACATTCAACTATTAACTACCGTTTATACGGTAAGGTCAGCTAAAAACCTAAAAGGACGTTCGATTTTTTTTTCTTATTTTATCAAATTTAAACATTTTACTACTTGAAACTTTTGCATAAAAGTCAAAAAATTTGAATATAAAATCATTCCCACTTTTCACCAGTAAAAAGTTTATAATGTTTTACTAACCTTCACTAAACTTTTTATTTTAATTTTATAAAATCTTACTTTAAAAGAATTTTCTAAAATGAAATTACAAGCTTTTACTTTAAATTAATTTATGTTTGATAAAATTATATAAAATTTAAAACATTTCGAATTTAGTTTTATTTGTGAATTTTCTAAATTCGAAACGTTTTAAATTTTATTTTTTAAAGTTGAATTTAAATCAAATATGCTGAAAATAAAAATAAAGAATAAGTCTATTAAATATTGTTAAAAAAAATCAAAGCTGATGTTAAATTTATGAATTTATTTTAGAAAAATATATATTTGAAAATATAAATTGATGTAGATTTATCGTGTTTAAATCATATTAAGTTTATTTATATTTATATATATTATTTATTTGTTTGTTTATTTATATTATATAAATTTATATTTAAAATTGTTTATTTTAATTAATTACGCGACTATTCCTTTATTATCTTATAACAAACGTAAGCTAATATTTATTTATAAACCTGTTTATTTATTAACAAGTTTATCTTCAAAATGATTGAGTTTTAAGTTCACTTTTTAATGAATCTAATTAATTTTTAATGATTTTTTTGAACATTTTATAAATATTGCAAAAAATTATATAGAAATTAATAAATTCCTTAAGGATTTTAAGTACATTTAAAAAACTAAACTTTAAAGTGTAAATATTAGTTTAAAAATTTAAGTTTCAAAAGACTTATTAATAAAAACTGAATGATGAAGAAACTTTTTTCATGAATATAAAAACACTCTTTAAAATAAAATACCTCTAAACAACGATATATTAAAGTAAAAATTTACATTAACACCATTTAAATACATAAAAATTGTTAGTAGAAACC